GGGATGGCCACGCCACAATCCCTTCTCCTCCATTCTCCTCTCGGGATCTTGGGCATGCACGCACACGCGCCCGACGTGAGTTTAAGCCAGCAGGTCTGGGACTCGAATCGCAGTTGACTACATGGGAGTCCAGTGACATAGCCATTAAACCAACTGCTGGGGGTGGGGGGTGTCACGGGGTCACCCTTTTTAACCTCGCCACTGGCATCAGCCTTCTTGGCTTCAGGTTTCTTCTCCTTAGTGTCCTGCTTCACAGCTTTTTCACCTGCCATCTTGTATAGTGGGAAAAAGAACTAAAGTCCCTGCTCTGGTCTATAAGGAATCATGGGAGGTTGATCTCTGGGGGGATTTCTCACTTTCTGTCTCTGTCTCTCTCTGTCTCTGGCAAGTGCATGCGTCCTATAGCAAACATCTCTCAAAAATAAAAGGTCATGGAATATGGCAGGGACATTCCTGGACATGTTCTAGAGTCACCTAATAGTGATTGTGCTCATAGTAGCTTATGTTCAATGAGCATTCTAAACAGTCAATGTAACCTCATTTTATCTTTAAAACAACATCTTGGGGGCCAGCAAATGGTGTGGTTAAGGCACTGGATCCCACATGGTTGACTGTGCGGTTCAGGTCCTAGACTGACAGCTTGAAAATTATGCTGAGTGTGTGTGCGTGCATCCCCAAAATCCTGAGAGGAGAATGGAGGAGAAGGGATTGTGGTTTGGCCATCCCCCTGGGGGGTGATTTCTCACTTTCCCTCACGCTGTCTCTGTCTCTCTTTGGTGCTCACATGTGCCCTATGGCAAAAACCTCCTAAAAAAAAAAAAGCAATACTATTTGATCCAAAGCTTATCAAATACTGCAGTGACTAGAGATATCCTATTTTTTTCTCTAATTTGATTATTTTAGACTTATTTTACTTAACCTTATTGATTATTTTAATTTGACCAGAGAGGGAGCGAGAGAGAGAGAGAGAGAGAAAGCGAGAAAACAAGGCGCTAGGACTCCACTGCAGTCGGTCATGTGGGAGTCCAGCGCCTTTTTACCACCACGCTACCTGCCGGCCCCTCTAATTTGATTTGAAAAAATATTTCCCAGAAGGTATGTGTACTCACCAGAGAGAAACAGAGACACACAGAGAGAGAAAGGAAGCACTCTTCCAATGGGGCATGATTGTGGTCATAATCTCTTCTCCTCCACCTCCCTCATATTGGGGTTTTGGGTATGTGTGTGCATGTACCAAGCATGTTTTTCAAGCCACCAGGTCCAGGATTTGAACTATATGATCAGCTATGTGGGATCCAGCTGTCTTAACCACTAGGCTTTGGAGCTGGTCTATACGTAAATTAAAAAAAAAAATTAATTTATTCATTCAATTTGACGAGAGAGAGAGAGAGAGAGAGAAAGTGAGAAAGCAAGCTGTCAGGTCTAGGACTCAAACCGTGGGTGGCCATGTGGGAGTGTCCAGAGCCTTAACCACCACACCACCTGCTGGTCCCTCTACTTATATTTTTAAAAAGATGTTTAACTTCTTCACTTACTTGGTGTATCTTGATACATGACTTGCCATGTTTAATTTGATTATTTTTCCAAATTGTTATTTTTTTCCTTGCTGCTTTGTCTTTTGTGATGCTATTTTATCTTATCTTTATTCCCATTGAATCTAACTGGTGCCTTTATTTTGTCTCTTAGCAGCTCCTGTTGCCCGAGACTTTGTAAGGAAATGGTAAGACTGTAGCTATTACTAACTTCACAGACCTGAGTAGCCGCCTGCCATGCCTGGGACAGACTTAGCTTTGAACATTTCAGGGAAAGTCTGTCTTGGGATTTTGTGAGGAGATCCTTTCGTCATAAGTCCCTTTTATAAACATAATTTCCGTGGAAAGAGGGAAAAGGGAAGTTAAAATAACTAAGGAGTGAAGTGAGAAAGTGGATTGCAATGTAGGAGAACTCTTCCTATTTTCACCAACTTTCCCCTTGTTTGGTAGATACTAGGGTTTTTTTTTTTTATTGTTGTTTTTAAATTTTTGCTCTAAGGCATGTGTGCTCACCAGAGAAACAGAGACAGATAAAGAGACAGAAAGCGAGAAGTCACCACCCCGGAGAGGTGGCCATGCCGCAATCCCTTTTTCTCCATTCTTCTCTCGGGATCTTGGGCACACACGGACACGTACTGGGTGTGAGATTAAGCCGCTGGGTCCAGGACTCAAAGCGCAATCGACTACATGGGAGTCTAGTGACATAACCATTATACCATCTGTTGGTTCCGATACTAGATTTCTTACATACTAGATCCGAACCTTTAAGAGACTGGGATTCTGGGGGACCAACGGATAGCATAGCAGTTGAGACATTGGACTCCCACATGGCCTACTGCAATTCGAGTCTCGGATCTGGCAGCTTGCTTTCTCACTTTCCCTCTTTCTCTGTCTCTCTCTGGTGAGCCCATATGCCCGATAGCAAATTAAAATGGTAGTAATAATTATAATTATAATGAATAAAATTAAATAATTCTTAAAAAATAAGGAGATTGAGATTCTGCATTGTCAATCTCATGTTATAGGCTTTTTGAAGCTGCAGATCACTGTATTCTAGACCTTTTTGCCTCTAATTCAAATATAGTGGTAAATGAAATTTCAAGAAAGTGTTTCTATGAAAACAAAACAAAACAAAAAACCAATTGTGTGTATGTGCACATTCAATGAATAAAAATAAGTGCTTCTTAAAAATAGATGCTTACCCTTGGTTTAACTAAGTAGATGCAGTTAGAAGAGGAAACAGAATAGAATCATTAAGGAGAATGTCAAGGATTCATATCAATAGTTTATGTACATGGGACAAGAATAGATTTTAGTTTTATTCACTCTTTTAAGAAGTGTATTGGGGGGCGGGGCTCCAGGTGGTGTGGTGGTTAAGGTACTGGACTCCCACATGGCTGACTATGGTTTGAGTCCCAGACCTAGTGGCCTTGTTTTCTCACTCTATCTATCTCTCTCTGGCAAAACTGGAGAATAATAATAATAATAATAATAAATTAAATAATCCTTAAAAAAAAAAAAAAGAAGTAGTAGATTGGGCCAGCCCATTGCCTGGTGGTTAAGATAGCTGGATTCCACGTGACCAACTGTGCCATTCAAGTCCCACATGTGATGACTTGAGAAACAATACAGGCGTGAGTGCATGCCTGCCAAAACCACAAAAAGGGAAAGAAATAGAGGAGAAGGGAGTGCAGCATGATTGACCATCTCCCATGGAGGGCTTCTTTCACACTGTCCCTTCGCCTTTCTCTCTCTGTCTCTCTGGCAAGCATGTGTGTTCTCTGGTAAGTTATGAAAATAAAAAAAAGAAGAAACATGCTGGTCACACGTGCATGTATGTTCACAGTCCTGAAAGGAGGGGAAAATGGAGGAGAAGGGACTACAGTGTCACCATTCCCCATGGAGGATGACTTCTCACTTCTCCCTCTTTTTCTCTCTCCCTGGTGAGTGCACATGCCTTCTGGCAAAATTTAAAAAAAAAAGAAGAGGGTTAAAATCATTCAAATTTATTGTTACTGTTTTTAATCAATTTACATTTATTGTAAAAGGCTATTATTTAAACATATTTTGTGTTTTCAATTTGAAATGTTTTTTAGTTATTTTTCTCTCTTCTTACAGGCAGTAATGTGTATATAGCAACTATATTTATTGAGAGAAAATGAAATTCAGAGAAATTATGTGATTTCTCAGGGTTGTAGGGTGGCTGAGTGATAAAACTGGTAGAACAAACATTATGAAGTCTTACTAAGTTCAAAATACCACTTTTCTACAAATAGCTAACTTATGCTGAGTGAGCAATTCTACTGTGGCTAAATAGGGAGTGAAAATAGTTTATCCTTCTAAGTACACTTAAAAATAGAGACTGTAAAATGAGTGGTTTAAAGTTTGTGTGTGTGTGTGTGTGTGTGTGTGTGTGTGTGTGTGTGTGTTTTATCTTACTACTTCTTGCTTTTGTTTGAAGTTAATTTGGGATTATGTGAGGAAATTCTGCTGTCTCCATATCTAGCTATTCCTGTATTGTCTAAAAAATTCCTTGTTATACAAATGTGCTGTCTCTAATTAGTGCAGTGACCGATTAGTTATGAAAGAAAATATTTTCTAAATGTAAGCAAGACAGTGAAAGAGAAAATAGCATTCTGTTTTCAACTGGAAGAGAGAATTGGGTTTTCCTATTAGTCCAGATCTGAAGTCATTCTCAAGCTTGTGGCTATGTAAATATACATTTATGGGCTAGCAGATGGCATGGCGGCTAAGGTGAATGGGTCCCACATGGTTGAAAGGGAGATTGAGTCCTGGACTTGGCTGGAAAAATATGTCCGGCATGTGTGTATGCATGCTCAAAATCCCAAGAGGAAAATGGAGAAGAGGGGATTGTGGTGTGGCCATCTCCCTTGAGGGGAAGTGATTTCTCACTCTCTCTCTCTCTCCAAGGAGCACACATGCCCTTTAGCAAAACTACAAAAATCAAATAAAAATAAAAGTATTGAGTTGTCAGGAAAGTCATGATGCATTTTTGCATAGAAAAACATGGAAAAATACATCATGACTTTTCCAACAATCTAATGTATTTATCACTGTGTACTCAACGTAAGGATTTCAAAATCTGTTAGCTATTGGCAAACCATAGGAGTCTAATCATCAACGAAGACACGAGATAGCTACGTGGAGTCCTCATTAAGTAGAAAGTCAGCCCATGAGAGGTAGAAACCCTCCAGTGACATTCTGGATAGGAATGTGACAAGACATTGGAAGGTAATATTCCAAAGGGAGAAGGGAGGCTTGCGTTAAGATTGAAGGGTATAGATATAGCTACGGCAACACAATAAAATGTGAAGGAAAAGGCGAAGTATTGGGACCAGCTGTTAGCATAATGGCTATGTCGCTGAACTCCCATGTAGTTGACTGCAGGTCGAGTCTCAGACCCGGTGGCTTAAACTCACGCCGGGCGCGTGTGCGTGCGTGCCCAAGATCCCAAGAGGAGAATGAAGGAGAAGGGATTGAGGCGCAGCCATACCCCCTGGGGGGCGATTTCTCGCTTTCTGTCTCTCTGTCTCTCTCTGTCTTTCTGGCGAATGCATGCACCCTATAGCAAAAACCTCTCCAAATAAAAGGAAAAAAAAAAAAGAACTAGCAAACGTTAATGAGATTATTTCAGATTACTTCCAATTGAAATAGCAGACTAATTTACATAGCTACAGGAATAAACTAGGAAACTGTCGATACTCCTATATAAAATGATACACATTGGGACCAGCAGATGGCGTAATGGCTACGTCTCTGGACTCCCATGTAGTCAACTGTGGTTCGAGTCCCGGACTGGGTGGTTTAAACTCAAGCCAAGCACGTGTGAGTGCGTACCCAAGATCCCGAGAGGAGAATGGAGGAGAAGGGATTGCAGCGTGGGCATCCTCCCTGGGGGAGTGATTTCTTGCTTTCTGTCTCTCTGTGTCTCTCTCTCTTTCTGGTGAGTGTATGTGCCCTAGAGCAAAAACCTCTTAAAAAAAAATAGATACACATGAAAAAACATGTTATTTTACTGGTGAACAAAAGGAATCGAGAGAAATCTTGGCTCGGGTGATGACAGAAATCAAAATGAACTTGCCTTAAGAGATTAGTGTAGAATGAGATGTTACGTCTGCAACTACGACTTTCTCCAGTGAATCACCTCCCTGGGAGGTTGGCACAGGCTGTGCGGCGGGGTCAGCTGGGGCCTGTGTGGCAAAGCTGCCCTTGTCGGATAAGGGCGTACTTCTGTCTGGCCACAAGCACTGCTGTCATTGCTTCTAGAGGAACACGACGAGGCGTGACTAGGGTTGCAGTGTATCGATTTTATAGCCCGTCCCCAGCTTTTCACCACTGAGGAATATTTGGGTTACCTCTGCCCTTGGCTGCAATGTCAGATTTTGAAAGTTTTTTGTTGTTGTTGTTTGTTTGTTTTAGAGATTTTTGCCTTATGGTACATGCACTCACTGGAGAGAGAGACAGAGATAGCGAGAGGGAAAGTGAGAAATCACCCCTTAGAAGGGATAGCCATGTGACAGTCCCTTCTCCATTCTCCTCTTGGGATCTTGGGCATGCATGCATATGCGCCCAGTGTGATTTTCAAGCCGCCAGGTCCAGGCCTTGAACTGTAGTCGGCCATGTGGGAATCCAGCACCTTAATCCCCCACCGTCTGCTGGCCCTGACTTTTGTCTATTTTATTCGCTAGCCCTAGAACACTAAGTGTTAAATAAATATTGGTAGAATGAATAAACTGAAGCTCAGAGAATGAAGTAACTTACCCAAGTATTAAAAAATAACATTTTATTAGAAAATAATAAAACCCAGAATCTTCAAGGTTGATGCTAGAATCATCATCATCTCTCATCTCTCAGCCCTGAGAGATGGAGCTTTGACCAAGTGCCTCATGTCCCCAGAATTGGTCGCTACCAGCACCACAGTAGTCTCAGGGGAGCCTGTTCAACACTGGTCCTTTCTGTGTACATAGATTCGTTATTTGTATGACTCTCAGACACAGCTAAGAATAGAAGGAGGAAGTAAGTCATTATTAAAGGCAACGAAAGTGAATCACACACAGAGGAACTTGCGAGTAGACCGTCTGACCGACAGTTCTGTAACAGGCAGCCCGGTTTTGTGATGGGGAAACTCCGAGTTGCTTGCCTCCTCCCGCGTCCTGAAAGGAGCTTTCTGGTACACCCACCGGCATGCAACAGGAAGGACATTTCTTCGCATGCTGGTTTGCCCGTGCTGTGTCAGGGACTGAGTCCTACCCAACGCCAGGGCCAGGACTTCCTCCAGCGTGAAGGGTTTGGAGTTTGTTAAACAGCTCAGGCAAATGTAGGGGGAATGCCCCCATCCCACTCAGCAAAGCACTTCCATGGCGTAGTTCTCTTGTCACATCTTTTAGTTAGTCGCCTCTGGGAGTGAGTGACATCTACTGGATGGGTTTGGGAGAGGGAGCCAGACCCTTCTGAGTCCTCTCTTCTTGGGTCCTGCCTATCTATGGTGAATGATCTTTGTGATCTGCGTTCTGTCGTATAGCCAGCTTAGCCTTTACAGGGACACCTGCAGCTTGGGGCACAAGTTCAAATCAGGGTGTCAAGGATCCAAACTACATTCTTCGATATAAATGTGTTGCTATGTAGTCTTTTTTTTCTTATTTCTTATTATCTATTTGTTGTTTGTATAGTGTGTGTGCGTTAACCAGGAAAAGTGAGAAATCACTGCTCAGGAGGAGTGATTTTCAAGCTCCCAGGTCTGGAACTCGAACTGCAAAGTTGGCCACGTGGAATCCAGCTGCCTTAACCTCTACACCACTGGCTCTATATTTATTTATTTATTTGCTTTTATTTTTGCCATAGGGCATGTGTACTTGCCAGAGAGAGAGGTAGGGGACATGAAAATGTCC